CACACACACACACACACACACACACACACACACACACACACACACACACACACACACAGAGGTCGCCTCCTGCTCCCACCTAACATCGATGCGTCTTCTCCACTCTCTCTGCAACACGCTTTCTCACTGCCCTACCCACTCTCCACTCTCTCTCCTTCTCGTTCCAGCTGGAAAACGAATTCCTGCGCACCCAAACACTGCTGCATACGCAGCACTGAAAACAAGTGCTGCACGTTGTCAAAAAAAAGAGGAAAAGTGCTGCACACACCAGCGCTTCTGATCCCAGTGTCTTCCCCAATCATCATCATCATCATCATCATCAAGAAGAAGAAGAAGAAAGAGAAGAAGAAGAAGAAGAAGAAGAAGAAGAAGAAGAAGAAGACGAACAAGAACAAGAAGACGAAAGAGGAGACGAAGAAGGAGAAGTAGTCGCAAAATGGCTGACACTTGCTCCACGAAAGTTAAGAATAATACTATTGCAATGTACAGTGGAGATTAATACGGATTCAACAAACTCAGGGGTCATCTACACTTTCCTCCTCTACGCGTTTCGACCACTTAGGCTACGGTGGCTGCACAATCCTCAGGAGGCTGACCACATACTACCGTCTTCACCCGAATAGAACGCCCGGTCGTTATATCTGTATTTGCCACAACTTTCAGCCCAGATACGGCGATAATTACCGGGCGTTCTATTTCGGTGAAGACGGTACCCTTGCGCTTTCCAGCACACAGCACACATCGTACCACCACCACCACCAACAACAACAACAACAACAACAAGAATAGTGGAAAACAGTGGCCAACTGCCTTTCGTATACGCTTCGGATATCCTTCAATACAAAGCTGAGATGAGTATGCGCGGCTTTCGTATATCCCTCATCTCAGCAAACGCGCAAGAAGAAGAAGAAGAAGAAGAAGAAGAAGACAGGTCTAGAACGAAGAAGAAGAATGCTCGTGGAATAAATACGTGGATTTAAAGGCTAAGGAGAAGAAGAAAGAGGAGAGAAGAGAAGACGACAAAGGAGAAGAAGAACAAGAAGACAGCATAACTTCATCGTTCTCAGTTACAGCAGCGATGACAAAACCCGACAGCCATCAAGAGAGTGGCGCGCTGTGACAACTACGTAGGCAGACAGATAGATAGATAGGTACACGTAGGCAGATAGATAGATAGGTACACGTAAGTCAGCCAATCAACGCCTAGAGCGGTCTTGTGCCGGGTTGCTTGGAAAAAAACGACAAAACGACAGATCCATGACATCTATCTATCTTGTCTTGTTTTAAATAAGGACGTGGACAACATCCACGCAGAAATTTTTAAAAAAAAAAAAAAAAACGAAATCAGAAAAAAGCGCAGAAGGCCAATCCTCCGTCAACACGCAAGAAGACTTTCCCGCCCGAACCACCGCTGAATACAGACCGGAATTGCGCTCCGGAATACAGACCCCTCCCAGTTCGAATCCAGATACCCTCTCCCTCAGATTGAAGAGAATAAAAACCGTTGCCCTTTTCTGAATTGCCGTGCCTGGGACCGGTCAGATCACTGATGATATCTCTTAAGCCCGTCACCCTTTACAAAGAAAAAGAAAGCAAAATCAATCAATCAATCCATCAATTAACTACCTACCAACAGTAATCAACGAAGTGATTGATGGGCTTCAGGTTTTCTTTTCAAAATATTTTTCCTTACCTTCTCGATCATCATCGAATCGAAATTTCTGCTCGCCTTGCCAGTAAGTGCAAACGGTGGTACAGGTACACGCATGTATACATGCCTGTTCCCACCCACATTCTGCTCCACGAGCGAAGCGGCTCGGCACTCACTCGGTGAACAACAATCACACACCCGTCGTCGGTTCAATAACGAGAAAGACGAAAATGATGATATGGGTACTTTCAATTCAATATCGATATCGAGTCTCCCCCCCACACAAAAAAAAAAATCGATATCGAGTCCCCCCCCCACACACAGACAAAAAAAAAAAAAAAATCGCTATCGAGCCCCCCCCCAAAAAAAAAAAAAGAGTCGATATCGATCAGTAGTTTGGTAATTGAGTTGTATAGTTCCGTACCAACTTTCTTTTTTTTTCCCCGACGGGGATCTAGACGGGATCACAGTCAATTGCATCCAGGATTGGCGGTAACTGCGGTTAGATACATTTATTTAGGAAAGTGCTATGTAGGTAGTGTGATGAGTATGGTGGGCTGAACTCAATGCTGAACGCTGTGGTAAAACCGGGGTTGGGTCTGGCGTGACTGTGTGTCCCGCTGAGACTCAGCTGGCAAAAAAAAAATAGGCCCAAGCCGACACTCAATGCCAAAATGGGCCCAAGCCAAAAAAATTGGGCCCAAAAAACTGATACTCAATGCCCAAAAAAAAGAAAAAAAAGAAAAAATTAAATAAAAACTCATGCTTTCAAGCACGAACATAGCGCTCAACCCAACCAAAAAGTTCATGCTTCCACGGGCTCTATGTTTATGCTTGGATGCATGAACTTGGCCGTGATAAGAGGCATAATTCATGCTTTCCAAGCGTAAAAATAGCACTACTCGCCCTAACGTAAACACCGGAGCCACTCTGTGGCCATCTCCGCGGGGGGGGGGGGGAAGAAAAAAAAAAAGAGTTTATTAGACGATCCCGTAAGGCTGTGTGGACGTGGTGGCGAGGATGGCAAAATGTTTGGGCCCAGGTGGGAGGTTGTTCTGTATTTGGGCTAGGGTAGGATGCATCTGCCCGGATATTTGACCAGGTTCATTCATTTCTTTGTAAGCATATGAACATAGCACCGGTGGGATCTCGTTTTTATACCCCCCCCGGAAACCGCCCTCTACCTTCTTTTTTTTTCTTTTTTGACTTTATAAAGCTATACTCTTCTCTCAATTTCATTTCAACCTTCAACGAGCTGGAGGCCAGCCGCGGGTACACCGCGGCCCGCAAATGAGAAAGGGGTAGAAAAAGAGGCGGGAGGCACTCTTGTCTAGGTGGAAGGCTTAGGGCCAGATCCCACTAGCCCCTATTGTTCATTTCTGACCGTTGATCTTCGTAATCGAGGGTGAAAATTGAATAATCCCACTAGCCTCTATTCGAATGTTTTGGAAAAGGAAATCAATTGATCCAAAAAAAAAAAAAAAAAGAATAATCCATCCAGGGTAGTGGGATCTGACCCTAGGTGGTCTTCGTGTAGTGTACAGCGAGTTGAACTCGTAACGTATCTGGGTCCGTGCGGTGGTGGTAGACCGCTTGATACCTCTGATCGGTGGTAGCAGGGCCGTTGGCCAACACGGGTGTGAGTGTGAGTGTGAGTGGGATGCGTGGGTTGTGTGGGGTGGGTGGGAGAGTGTTGGCCGTAGACACTGCTGTTATTCGGTTGGGGTTGGGGCACCATGAAAAGGGAGGCGCAGCTACTGGCAAAATGCTTGGTCTATGTGTTAGCGGGACCCCCACCGACGACCCCACCGACGGCCCCACCCTATCCTTGACCACCATGGTTGGGGCAGAGGGCAACATGCATCCCCTCTGATGGCTGGAGGGGGACAACAAAGCTATGTTCACAGGGTCCCCTGTCTAAGCCTTAGGAGTAGTGGTAGGTAGGTAGTGAAGGTGAATTGAAAGATGATGAAAGATTTGAGAGAAGAATAGAGCATAGTTATAATTAAAAAAAAAAAAAAAGCTCTTCCCACCTATCCTGTCTCATCCAGGCAGCGTGTCAGATGTCAGGGTATGATTCACTGACCATGGCTGTGGCACTCAAGATGACTGCATGTGGGCGTCCAAGCGGACCATATTCATGGACAGTAGTCTGATCCTTCCTTGACATGGGCCCCAGTGCACTCTGGTCCTTTGCTCTAGCAGATGTCAGAGTAACTCTATGCCATACTTGCTGTAGGTGAGGGGATCGAATCCTCTGATAACACCTCCCACATTGTCGAATTCGGCGTCTCTTCCATGCATGGGCCACGAACCAAAGGTGTGTGGAAGGTGTGTGAAAATCATCAAGAAAAAAATCGTTATGATTTTCACTCACATTGGGGACCCCTACACGACCTACTCAACAAAATAAAAAGAAAGACCGGCCAATGGGAGGCCGCAAAAATATATATATGTCCCCCAGCTCAAATACAAGAAACACCACACTGCCGATCACCGTTCCGATCAGAGGTGCTTCAAGTTCGGAGTCACACACCCTCTCCACTAATCCACATACATTGGTAGTGGGATTCTGGGAGCGCCATGGCTAGAACCCTTAAGAGGTCCTAATGGATTAGACTTAAGTAAACTCAAAAAAGATATTCAACCTTGGCAAGCGAAACGCTCTGCTGAATATATGACTCATGCCCCATTAGGTTCTTTAAATTCAGTAGGTGGTGTAGCTACAGAAATAAATGCAGTGAATTATGTCTCTCCTCGTAGTTGGCTAGCAACTTCTCATTTTGTACTTGGCTTCTTTTTCTTTGTTGGTCATTTATGGCGGATCGCTCTCCTGGAACTCATGAGCTGTTTTTCTTCTTTTTTTTCCCCCTCTCAATTGCACCGTTCACTATCTACCTACCACTACTCCTAAGCCTATATAGGGGACCCCTGCAAGCATAGCTACCATCTCAATCCATCCAGAAATATGCTAAGTTGAACTAAGGGCCTCACTCCACTACTCACCAAAAGAGCAAAATGAGAATGAATTTTTCGCTAGGAAATGGAGAGATACATCACCATATTTTTTGCTTTTTGTGTATGTGCCACGTGGAGAGGAGTGAAGCGGGGAGACCTCCACATTACACCCGGAAAAGACTGGAAGCATCATCCAGTTTAGCTTACAGGCCCCGTGCCTGGGGGACTTTTTTTAGCCCAACGTAGCTAAGGGACTGCTTTACCTACCTAACCCCTTTTTTTTTTTTGGTTTTTTTTATTGGAGCAGCCCAGGTTGGTGCCAGGGGCGCTGATAGGAGCAGGCACCACTAGCCCTCTCGGGGACCTACTTATTCCAGCTACTGAAGTACAGCCGCCCCCTATGAGTACAGGGTCCAACAGCGGTCCTGTGGACATTCTGTCCAGGGGGCTAAAACGACGGTGCTACTAGCCTCCCACCAGCAGCCCCTAAAGAGGCTATGGAACCAAAACCGGTTCTTGAAAAATAACAACACTCCTTCCCGACACATATACCAACCAGCTATTGCTTTTGTGCTGCGGAAAAGGACCAAGTGTCCAGGTCCTGACAAAGCAATAAAGAGGCACTTAGCCTAACCTAACCTAGTTCCCGTGATTCTGCTACCTTCTTCCCCCGAATACAACGTACGGTCATGATAGTTGTATTTGAGTCATCTTTCAGTCTAGATATAGCCATAATGACCGCACGTTGCATTCGGGGGAAGAAGGTAGCTGCCTATCCCTTGCCCACCACGTACTGTGAAACCACCTTTTACCGCCCCATTTGTTTTTGGCCTTAGTCGCCTTCCTCTGCCACTCACACTTTATTGCTATAACAATGTTTCGTTTGATCTTCGCCCTTCAGGGTCTGGCCTGAAAGGAACCTTCCCTTGAAAACCACTGTTCCTCTCTTCCCAGATTACCAAAAAGAATACTGTAGGTTGAATTGTTTCTTTGGGTTTTTTACACGGGCTTCTATTTAAATGGTCATTTAAAAGGGACTGGGTGTTTTCTTTTGGAAGATTTGACAAACGTTGGGGCTTGTCTGAATAAGGCAATATGTGTTCAACACATGACGAGCAACTAAAGCAACTACCTATTGAAGGACAGACTCAGTCAAACTCACAAGCAGAGCACACACAAATAAAGTAAGTACTTTCAATAGATTCCCCAAATTGATCCCAAGTAAAGTACTTCATTGAACATCTTGCAACTCAACCCAAGGTCTTAGCCCTTGTGGGTAAAACTGTTTTTTTTCGGGGTTTTACCAGGGCATCTATTAAATGGTCATTTAAAAGGGACTGAGTGCTTTCATTTTGAAGATTTGACAAAGGTTGGGGCTTGTTTGAATAACGCAACAAGTCTCCAACACATGACGAGCATCTAAAACAACTACCTATTGAAGGACATACTCAATTCAACTCACAAGCAGAACACATACAAATAGAGTAAGTATTTTTACCAAATTTCCCAAGTTGATTCAAAGTAAGATAGTTCATTATACTTTCGTATGATTAACCACTTATCCCAGTTTTCAAAGGGCACTGAGTTAGGTCATTCATATTATAAACAATGCCTAACCCCTTGCCTTAGTTATATACAAACAAGTTGCACAACTGCTTTTCTCTTTGTTAAACGTATGGTTAGACCATTCATTTTAGAAACAATGTTCAACCTGCCTTGAACTGTTTACTAAACAAGTTGTAATACTTCTCTGAATTCAGTTTTCAAAGTGGGTTTAAGATTGAGTCATTCATCTTAGAAACAATGATCAGTCTGCACAAGTTACCTTCGATTATAACTCTTAATTTATACTCTCTTATTGTGATAAGGTTATAGTCAGACCATTCATCTTAAAAACAATGTATGGCTTAGCCTTTTTCATATAGATATGTATATATCTAGTATAATTGATATAAAAATTTGTATTCCCAGTTTATATTTTAAGTGCGTTGTTTCATACTAAATCATTCATCTTAGAAACAATGCTTAGTTTTTCACCTGAATCCTCATATAATAAATTAAAGGAGCTAAATCATTAATCTTATAAATAGGGAATATCATTCATCTTAAAAACAATGTCAAAGTTCGTTCAGAAACCACCAAAATTAAACAAGTGGTCATACTGTTCATCTTATAAACAA